GCCTTTTGTTTTGTTTTTAAGACAAGAGTCTCACTCTGTTGCCTGGGCTACAGTTTCATGATGGTGTCAGCCTAGCTCACAGCAACCTCAGACTCCTGGGCTCAAGCGATACTCCTGCCTCAGCCTCCCGAGTAGCTGGGACTATAGGCATGCACCACCATGCCCAGCTATTTTTTTTATACATATACTTTTAGTTGCCCAGCTAATTTCTTTCTATTTTTTTAGTAGAGATGGGGTATCGCTCTTGCTCAGGCTGGTCTTGAACTCCTGAGCTCCAACGATCCGCCTGCCTTGGTCTCCCAGAGTGCTAGGTTTATAGGCATGGGCCACCACGCCCAGCCCTCCATTGTTTTTTGTGGCTTAATAGAACTCCATGGTATACATACACCACATTTTATTAATGCACTAATATATTGATGGGCACTTGGGTTGTTTCCACATCTTTGCAAGTATGAATTGTGCTGCTATAAGTGTTCCATTGCAGGTGTCTTTTTTATAGAATGTCTTTTGTTCCTTTGGGTAGATGCCCAGTAATGGGCATTGCTGGATCAAATGGTAGATCTACTTGTATCTCTTTGAGGTATTTCCATATTGCTTTCCACAGAGATTGCACTAGTTTGCAGTCCCACCAGCAATGTAGGAGTGTTTCTATCTGTCCACATCCACACCAACATTTATTGTTTTGGGACTTTTTTGATAAAGGTCATTCTCACTGGAGATAAGTGATATCTCATTGTGGTTTTGATTTGCATCTCCCTGATGATTAGAGATGTTGACCATTTTTTCATGTTTGTTGGCCATTAGTCTATCTTCTTTTTAAAAGTTTCTGTTCAGGTCCTGTGCCCACCTTTTTATATGGTTGTTTGAATTTTTTTTTGCTGATTTTCCTGAGTTCTATATAGATTCTAGTTATCAGTCCTTTATCGGATGTGTAACATGCAAATATTGTCTCCTATTCTGTAGGTTGTCTGTTTGCTCTAATGATAGTTTCCTTGGCTGTGCAGAAGCTTTTTAATTTGATCAGGTCCCATTTATTTATTTTTGTTGTTGCTGTGATTGCTTGGGGATCTTATTCATAAATTCTTTGTCTAGGCCAATGTCTATAAAAGTTTTTCCAACATTTTCTTCTAGAATCCTTATAGTTTCACACTTTAGGTTTAAGTCTTGTTGTATTACTTTTTATAGGTTTTTTTTCCCGAATATTTTCAACCAACTAACCTGAGGACATAGAACCAACGGATATGGAGGGCCAACTATATGCCATGTATCTGTGATTGTCCATCTGTGTTTCTGAGTATGTGGTGGCATGTGATTTTATGCTCTTTTGCTATTGCGTAAGGTTGTGTCTGACATGGTATAATTGACCCTGTGTGGCTGTAGTCTTTATGTGTAACCATATTTGCAGGTGTGTGTGAAAGCACATTATGGTGTGTATGACACTCCATGGCCCTGCAGTTGTGACACACAGTATAAATGATACTGTGACTCAGTGGAACCATGTTTGAGGAGTGTATAACTCGATATATGATGATATGTGTTTGGGCAATTGTGTGAAGCTGTGTGAGATGGTATAATTGCCATTGTGTGTCTTTGTGACTGTGCATGACTATGTTTGTAGGTATGTGTGATACTATGAGGCTACATGATTACATGTGAGGTTGTGACCATGGGTCTTTGTGACTATGTAACCAGGCTTTCAGGAGTGTGATGGCAGGTGAATGGATGGTTGAATTTGTGTAGCCGCAGTTGTGTGAAACAGTGTAAATAACACCATGTGTTTTTGTGACTGAATGGGCCCGTTTGTGACTGGGGCCCATTTGTGACTGGTCATTTACGTATGATACAGGGTAACAGACCCTTTGTGGCTATGAGTGAGAGACCATTGTCTGTGGCATAACTTAACTGACAGCATGTGCTGGTGGTACCTCTGGGAGCTCTTGACTGCTGCACACTCTCTTGTCCTCACACCTGTTTGCCTGCATCTCTCCTGTCACAGGATGGATGTATGGCTCTCAGCCTAGAATCCAAGGCTTTTCCCTCTCTTCTCTGGCGCCACCTACTTCTCTATCATCTGAGGCACTCCCATAGCCCCCTGCCCAGCCCAGCCCTACACTCCATCTCTTGGAACATGTCATCCCTTGGGAGATCCTCATTGCCTCCCAGACTGAATCTTCTCTCATAAGCACGACCCATCATCTCCTCCAGGGCCAAACACAGAGGTGACTTTAGGGGATATACAGTGAGGGAGGAGGGACAGTACTACTGTCCCAATTTGCTACTTGTTGTTTTAAAATTGCTCCTGTGACCTGAACTCTGGATTCTGGGTATGTGTGGATTTGGAAGTAGAGGAGGATAGTACAGATTAGTAAGAAGCTGGGATTTTAAGAAGCAAAACTTTTGCTCATGAAATACAATTTTATCACTTTTAAGTACACTCAGCTGTATAAAATTTTGGACAAGAAAGTCCAGATATTCTCAGGGTCTTAAAAAAGGGTGAAGTATGGTTTATGCTCACCATACCATTGGGGCTGTATAAACGATGGCTGCAAACATTTACACTCCCTGGTAATAATGCCTGCTAACATACATGGAACCAATGCACTCATCACAAAGAACTCTTATCTGTTGGTAAAAACAGCCAGCCCCAGCCCTGGGCCTGGCTCTCCATCTGAGGGCTGGGGTAGGGGCTTTCCAGAAAAGCAATGAGGCCAGGAAAGGGACTCGTGGAAACCCAACAGCCTAAATACCTGCTAAGACAGGCAAGTCCCTGGTCCCCTGTGGGGTAACGTTGGTCACTTCACACTCAGTTTCTCCCTTCTGCAGGGCTGTACCAGGGAAGCCGGATCCTGGTTAAAAGTTTATCCCTTGACCCTGGCCAGAGCCTTGAGCCTCATCCAGAAGGTCCCCAACGGCTTCGTTCAGACCCAGGCCCCCGCACAGAAACCCCCAGCCAACGTCCTTCGCCACTGAAGCGGGTACCAGGCCCAAAGCCACAGGGTAAGTAGTTCCAGAAAGGAGGAGGGGAGAAGTTGGCCAGTGGCAGAGGAGAGGGCTTGTCAGAAGGACGGAAAGGCACCATAGTCTCAAGGGCAGTGCTACCTACTCAGCTGGCGGAGCTGTGGCGTCGGGCTAATACGTGCCTACTGGGATCTCCCCTCAGTCCTGCTGTGTGCCTACCTCAGGTGAAAGTGCAGACTGGGGTTTGTGGAGGGGGTTGTGGCCTGGCCATGACAACCACCTCCAAACCCAACTGAGTAAGGTCTCTCTTCCCTCTTCCCTATCTGTCTCTCCAGTCCCCCCGAAACCCAGCTACCTTCAGATGCCCCGGATGCCGCCCCCACCTGAGCCTATCCCCCCTCCACCATCACGTCCATTACCTGCAGACCCCCGAGTGGCCAAGGGCCTGGCCCCCAGGGTTGAGGCCAGCCCGAGTTGTGCAGCAGTATCTTCACTGATTGAGAAGTTTGAAAGGTGAGTCTGGTCCCTGGACAACCCTGTGAGGAGAAAGGGGAACCTGGGACAAGAAGGGATAGTCATAGGAGAGGCTTGTCAGTCAAGCTCATACCCTGCCTCCATGTGTGTCTGCCACCCACCTCAGAGAGCCTGTGATTGTCGCCTCGGATAGGCCAGCCTCTGGCCCCAGCCCAGGTCCCCCAGAGCCAGCCATGTTGCCACAGCCACCCCTGCAGCCACCAGTGCCCCAGCTCCCTGAGGGTGAGGCCTCCCGCTGCCTGTTTCTGCTGGCTCCTGGGCCTCGGGACGGTGAGAAGGTACCCAACCGCGACAGCGGCATTGACAGCATCAGCTCGCCATCCAACAGTGAGGAGACCTGCTTCGTCAGTGATGACGGGCCCCCCAGCCACAGCCTCTGCCCTGGGCCCCCTGCCCTGGCCAATGTTCCTGTTGCTTTGGCCGACCCCCACCGGCCTGGTTCCCAGGAGGTTGACAGTGACTTGGAGGAGGAGGACGACGAGGAGGAGGATGAGGAGAAGGACAGAGAGATCCCAGTGCCCCCAATGGAGAGACAGGAGTCTATGGAGGTACTTGACCCATCTTCACCAAGAGGCAGGACCACGTGTAGAAACCCAGAGCCTGGCTTTTATGCTTGGTTCTTCCCCTAGTTCAGTATTTATCAAAATAGGACATTGTTTCCATTTTGGATGTTTATCTTCCATGGACCCTTGGTACTAAATACCAGTAGCAAACCCCTGTCCCTGTCCCTAGTCACTATGACTACCTGAATGACTATGCACAGTTCCAAATGCCCACTAGGAAGGTTGTTCTACCCTCATCAGATAGCCATGAGCTGGACCTCAGTTTTTCCATCTGGAAGATGGGCATCCTAGTTGGGAATGTTTAAAGCCTATTCCATTTGGAAAATCCCATGACTCAGTAGCTGTGTGACATTGGGCAAGTCTCTTCTCTCTCCACTCCCCCACCACAAGCCTCAGTTTCTTTATTTGTAAGTTGGAAAGTCTCTCCCATCCAAAGAGACTTCCCAACAGTTAGAGGAGGGGCACAAGAGCTAGAGCCCCATGGGAACCTGAGGCTGTGGAAATAAAGGCTCTGGGCAGCAGGGACCCCTTTTCTGTACCCTGGCAGCCTACCATTTCTTCAAAAAGCATCCTTGCACCTGAATTAGGTCTCAGCCAGAATATCTGTTCCACCAGGACCAAGCTCAAGTGTGGGGGCTGAAGCTAGGGACTACTGGGATGGCACGTACTCGGCAAATATGGTCTAATAAATAGGAAATGGAGTCAACAGGCAATGAGTTTCATGTATTTTTATATTTTTGTGTCTTTCTCACACCCCAGGTACTCAGCAAGACCTTGCTGATAATGAACTGAATGGGTGAATAAATAACTAACATTTATAGACTACTTAATCTTCAGTCTTCTATGTTATGTTTATATTAAATCATTTAGACTGGGCATGGTGGCTCACACCTGTAATCCTAGCACTTTGGGAAGCCAAAGCAGGAGGATCAGTTGAGGCCAGGAGTTCAAGACCGGCCTGGGCAACATAGTGAGAACTCATCTCTGCAAAAGAAAAAACAATGAAAAAAAAGATTATCTGAGCATGATGCATGCACCTGTAGTCCCTGCTGCTCTAGAGGCTGAGGCTGGAGGATCACTTGAGACACGGAGTTCGAGGTTACAGTGAGCTATGATCACACCACTGCACTCCAGCATGGGTGACAGAGCTAGACCCTGTCTCAAAAAAAAAATCATTTAATTGTCTCCATTACAAATGGATTTACATTTTATTATTATCTGTATTTATAGATGAGGAGTCCTAAAGACAGAGCAAACAATACAGATAAGCTAGTGAGTGGCAGAGCTAGGATTTGAACCCAGGAAGTCTGGCTTCCTAGCCCACATGCTTAACCACTACACTATGCTGAATGAATAGAGAGAACAAATGAATGGGTGAATGAGTGGCTGGCTGAATGAGGGAGTGCATGTCATCAGAATTAAGGAGTGGGCTTTATGATAGACTGGGGAGTCAGGGGTAAAGCTGAGGGGCTCATGGGTCTAGAGATGGGGGTCAGGGTTATCGTAGGCTGGCATTAAGCTTAGAGTAGCATGTGAGCTGTTCTAAGAATTCTGGGGACTTTGGTAGGGGTTAGGGTAGAGGATAATGGCTCAGGGGATTACCTCTTTTCCTTTACAGTTGACCGTGCAGCAGAAGGTGTTTCACATTGCCAATGAGCTCCTGCAAACTGAGAAGGCCTATGTTTCCAGGCTCCATCTCCTGGATCAGGTGAGTGGCCCTTCAGGAGTCCCAGGGCCCCAGGTGAGTCCTAAGGAAGAAGTGATAGGTCCTGAGCTCAACCCCACCATTGTCCCTACCATCATGGCCAGAAATCTAGAAGTGGTAAGACCCCTCTCTGACCTTGAAGTCAACTTGCCTCTGAGGCCAACTCTGATTATGACCCCAAGCTTGATGCTCATACTAACCCTCACTCTCTTAAACCTGGGCCTGGACTGTGCCTCTGAAACTAATACTGACTCTGACCCAGATTCTGAATTTACCCCTGGCTGTGAGACTCATTCTAACCCGGCCCTATTCATGATCCCAAATCCACTAGAATCACTGAGAGTAGAGATTTTTGTCTGCTTTGTTCACTGCTCTATCCTAGCCTCTAGGACAGTGCCTGGCACACAGTAGGCACTCAAAAATATTTTTTAACTGAATGGATCTAATTCTAACTTTCTCTCTGACCCAAATCTAATTCCAACCTTGACCCTGATCCTGACTTCTCATTGTTCCAATGCCTAACTCCAGGTCCTAACCTTGACAATCTGAATTGCAACCCCATATATAACCCTAACTCCATTCCCTCTCTCCTCAGTCTCCAGACCAACACTGATCCCAAAGCTCCACAAAACTGCCCACAAACACTGCCCTGACCCACAAGCTGCCCCTTCCCCAGCCAAGTCCCAGACCCAGCTAGACTGAGCACTCCTGCCCTGCCCCACAGGTGTTCTGTGCCCGGCTGCTGGAAGAGGCTCGGAACCGCAGTTCCTTCCCCGCCGACGTTGTCCATGGCATCTTCTCTAACATCTGCTCCATCTATTGCTTCCACCAGCAGTTCCTGCTGCCTGAGCTAGAGAAGCGCATGGAGGAATGGTGAGGGGCCCAGACCTAGGCTGCATGCACCCCTGTCCTTGTGCCTTCCAAGCCCAAACCCAGAGGTGTACACAAGAGTTCATCCCTGCCTGCCCCCTCCTTTTACTGACTTTCACAGAAAGAATCAGGTCCAAACTCCGCCTCTAGGCCCTCCCAGTCTAATGTGGAACACAGACCAGGACTCAGAAAATTATAACAGAATAGCATAGCCCTCAAGAGTGTAAGGTTAGCAGCCAAATTGGCTGGGTTCAAATTCTGGCTCTGCCACTTGCTAGCTTTGAACAGGTTTCTTAAGTTGCTGTACCTCAGTTTCCTTATCTATAAAATGGGGATAACAATAACAGCCTACTTTGTAAGATTGTTTTAAGGATGAAATGAGTTAATACACATAAAGAGCTTAGTACTCAGCATATAATAAGGGCTCAATGAATGTGAGATGTTATTATTTTTATCAGTGCTGTGATAAAACTGGGAATGGGAGGCTGTGGGGACCCAGACAAGTGGATCAAGCCTAGCGTGGGGATTAGAGTAGGATTCAGGGAGGAAGTGGTACCTGAGTCCTGAAGTAGAAGGTCAGTGCTTATAGGCAGCCTCCCAGCCTCCAGGCTCTCTTCTTCCAATCCTACATCACCCACCAAAATGGTCTTTCTAAACAACAGTCAGACCATGTTACCCCTGCTTAAACTTATCTCCATGTTCCCAATACCTATAGGATAAAGTGTGTCCTCCTCACCAGACTGTGACCACAGAGGGCTGGCCTGAAGCCTGGTTCCTATATCTCCCTACCAGCCTGTGACCCTAGGGGGTCAGGACCAGGTCTGGTTTGTTTTTCTCCCATAACACACTGTGACCAATGAGGAGTGTGACCAGGCCTAGTCACTTTGCCTCCCCTACCAGACAGTGACCCTCTCAGGGCTCAACTGGATGTGCATGACTCATTTCTGTGTCCCAAGCGTCACCCAGCACAGCCTGGGCACAGAGTCAATAATCAGTTCATGAAGTGGTCCTTGCAGTAAGGTCAGAGCAGATATTCTAAGACACATCAGTTCTGGTGCTCAAGCAGGGCACCAGAGTTGGGGCAGGTGGCATTCCAGAACATGGTCTCAAGTCAATCTGAGCCTCTTAGCCTATAAAGCCTAATTGGCCCATAATGTAAGCAGCATTTCGTAGGGAGCAGACTACCTGAGAAGTGGGTTTCCAGGACTGAGATGAGCACAGTCTGCCTGGGGTTGGAGACCTATAGGAGAGGATTCTAGAGCACAATAATCAGTAGGACCACATCAGCTCCTGCTTCCACGCCAGGGACCGCTACCCACGCATTGGGGACATCCTGCAGAAGCTGGCACCCTTCCTCAAGATGTATGGCGAGTATGTGAAGAATTTTGACCGGGCTGTGGAACTGGTCAACACCTGGACAGAGCGCTCCACCCAGTTTAAAGTCATCATCCATGAGGTGCAGGTAAGTGACAAAGCTGGATGGAGCAGCCTGGGGGAGGAGAGGTCTTCAGGGACTTGGGGGAAATCTGCAGCCAGACCGCTGCCCCTCTGCTTCTTCTGTCACAGAAGGAGGAAGCCTGTGGCAACCTGACGTTGCAGCACCACATGCTGGAGCCTGTGCAGCGCATCCCCCGCTATGAGCTACTTCTCAAGGACTATCTGTTAAAGCTGCCCCATGGCTCCCCGGACAGCAAGGATGCCCAAAGTGAGTGTATGCACCTAGGTCCTGCTCTGCTCCCCCATGTGGATAGCCCTAGGCCAGACCTCTTAGGCAGGACCCCAAGACTTCATTCAAAGATGGCCTTCCATGGCTACATGATTGAGATTCCAGAGTAGGATCTCCAAACCATGAGGCCCATATTGAGGCTCTGAAGTGAGACCCTAGGATGAACCTCCAATTTGAGATCCCTATTCTGAGTACCCAGACAGAACATGCAGAAGTCCCTCAGTCTGAACTTCCCAACTAGAACCCCAGAATTGGAGGGGCATGCCCAGAATGATCCCTTTAAGAAGCCATCCACTTCTTAGGCCAAGACCCCAAGGCTGACCCCCAGACTCATCCCTGAATGGAGTTGTACCAAGTGCAGAATGAAACTGAGCCTGGATCCCCCAGGGACTACGCCATCAGGTTGCATGCCCAGACTGACCCCACTCAGGCCAAGCTCTCTTCACTGAATCTCTATGGCTGAGCTCCCCAGAAAGAACCCTGTCTCATCAAACTCCTGATTTTCTATCCTCCAGATTTAGAGCTTCATTCCATGTCCACCAGCTACCACCCAGAATAAACTTCCCAAAGGAACGTCTAAGTCTTATCAAAGCCCCACAGATTCCCCTCTCCAAAACTGAGCACCTCAGACTGGACACTATACTTTCTACTTCTCAGATTTGGATTTCTAGGTTGAGATGCCTCCTCCCTAGACTGAGTTCCTTACACATTGAACCACTAGAAAAGTCTCATTCTGGTGTCAGCCCCACACAATAGAGTCATACCCCAAATAGAGCTCCCCAGAGTGTACCCTACTTTCTCTCTTCCTTAGGCTGTTACTTCCATTCATTCATTCATTCATTAACTTAGCAGCTACTTACTGAGCACTTCAGTGATTTGTACATTTCTCTAGGCACTGGTGATATGGAGGTGAACAGAACAAAGTCCTTGATCTCAGGTAGCATATATTCTAGTTGGGGAGAGAGACAATAAACAAAAGTAATAAATATACAGGAGAATATTAGATATATGCTAAGTGTAATTCAGATAATTAGAAGAGAACGATGTGACAGTGACTGGGGTGCCTACTTTAGATTGGGTGGCCTCTCTGCATAGAAGACATTTGAGTCAAAACCTGAATAGCAAGAAGAAGGTAGCCATGTGCCAACTGGGATGGAACACGTTCCAGGCAGAGGCAGCAGCAGGTACAGAGTCCCCAAGGTGGGAGGGAGATTGAAGTAGGTGGGGTGGTAGGCAGCTTGCATATCTCTGAACCAATAAGAGGGCCAGTGTGACCCAAACATGTCAAGTGAGGATAGAAGTGGGGTTGGAGAGAGGAATAGGACTTTGAAGGCCAAGATAAGGAGATGGATTTTATTCTGAGTGTGGTGGATAGCCATAGGAAGGTTTTGATCTGGATTACTTAGGAAGCAAGAGAGAACCAAGAAATCAGTTAGAAGGCCCTTGCAATAATCTAAGTGTGAAAAGTTGGCTTGGATGAGGATAGGAGTGGTAGAAGTGATGAGAAATGGTTGAATTCAGGATATATTCTATTCAAAAGTAGCACTGAAAGAACCAGGATAGAGTGGATGCAGGGCTTGGGAGAGTCAAGAATGATTTGCAGGTTTTTGACTATGGTGATGGTTCTTGAGATGAGCTCAGGAGTTTGATTTTGGACATGTTCAAAGTTAGCTGCCAGTTAGGCAGTTAGATGAGTCTAGAATTTCAAGGAAAGATTTGGAGGTCATTGGCATATAGATAGTATTCAAAGCGATGGGGTTGGCCAAGATCACCAGAGGGAGTGAGTGTAAATGAAAGAGAAAAGGGGTCCAAGGACAAAGCTCAGGGAGGTGGGATTAACAAAGGAGACTTAGAAGGAGCAGCCCTAAAGATGGGAGGAAAACCAGGAAAGTGTGTGGTCCTGGAAGCCACAACAATGGGGAGCAGGCCAACCATGGTGGCTTGTGCCTATAATCCCAGCACTTTATTTATTTATTTATTTTTTTTCTTAAACTATCATTCTTTGCTGAATTTCCCAGCACTTTATGAGGCCAAGGCAGAAGGGTCCCTTGAGGCTGGGAGTTGGAGACCAGCCTGGGCAACATGGCAAGACCCCATCTCTATAAAAAATCAAAAAAAAAAAAAAAATTAGCCAGGTGTGGTGGTATGTACCTGTAGTCCTAGCTACTCGGGAGGTTGAGGTAGGAGGATAACTTGAGCCCAGGAATTCAAAGTTACAGTGAGCTATGATATGATTGTGCCACTGCACTCCACTCTGGGCAACAGAGCAAGACCACATCTCTTAAAAAGAATGGAGAGCAGACATTTGTGTCCACTGCTGTGTCCTCTTCTCAAACTGAGCCCCCTCCACCCCACCAGATGGGGCATGTTGCTTCCAAGCCTGGACCTCTAGAAAGAACTAGACCCCTAGAAAGTTTTGCTAGCTGAGTTCTATAGATGAATATCTGCAGACTAAATAAGTACCTCATTTCTCCCCCAAATAAAATAAGAGCACCCACTGAGATGCCAGGATTAGCCACATAACCTAAACTTCTAGAAAGAACCTTCCAGACTGATTCCCTGGGATGAGCCCTGACATCTTCAACCTGAGCTCTCAGATTAAGCCCTGTCTGAGGTACCAATTATAGATGCCCAGATAGGCCTCCAGAATGTTCTCCTCACCCTGAGCTCTGAGAGTGGCTTCTTAGTCAGAGTCCTCATCCTGAGGTCCCAGAGTGAGATTCCCCCAAAAGAGCTTCCCAGTCTGATCTCCTTGGTCATGATTCTATAGATGGGTATTGCCAAACTGATTAATCCCCCCATTTAGTATCCCTCAGACTGAAACCTCACTGAGCCCGCAGACTGGATTCCCAGAGTTCCCCAGTGTGAACCTAAAGGAAACCCTGAGATTCAGTAGCCCAGACTAAGCTCCAGACAGATTCCAGACTGTGTTCTCCCTAGCCCAAGTCCCCAGACTGGAAAACCCTATTTTTGAGAGTCCCTTTCTGAGCCCCCAGACTAATACCCTAGATTGTCCCTCAAATTAAGCCACCCAGGCTAAGCGCCTAGTCTGATCTTCCCAGTCTCAATTTCCAGACTGACTTCCCCAAGACTAAACCCCGTATTTTCTATCTCTCAGACTTGGATTCACAGATTGATATTCTCAGGCTGAGTTCAGCAGACTAAGGTTTTCAGACTAGGCTTTTTACTGAGACCCAAGAAGGGCCACTCACTGCCATACTGAGTCTGCACATGTTATACCTGTCTGACTAGGGTCCCCAGAAGGATCCTCCCATCTCATTTCTCCACTCAGACCCCCACATTGAGCTCCCAGGACACAGTTCTGCAGTTTTAATTCCCCAAATGAGCTCCCTGGACTGGACACCCAAAGTGAGTTGCCAATGTGAACTCCCTAGAGTGGGCTCCAGAGAGAGGCCCTTTTGTTAACTCTGTGTCCTTGGTCAAGTTGCCCAGCCTCTCAGCCTCAGTTTCCTCACATGTAGAATGGGGGTGATAACCCTAAACCTACCACATAGAGTTGTTTTGCAGATAAATGAGATAATCCAAGTAAAAGTTTTAGCACAGTGCATGGCACATGGGAAAGGCTCAATAATTGTCAGCTGTTTGTTTGTTTGTTTGTTTGTTTGTTTGTTTGGTTTTGTTTTTTGAGACAGAGTCTCGCTTTGTTGCCTAGGCTAGAGTGAGTGCCGTGGCATCAGCCTAGCTCACAGCAACCTCAAACTCCTGGGCTCAAGCAATCCTGCTGCCTCAGCCTCCCGAGTAGCTGGGACTACAGGCGTGCGCCACCATGCCCAGCTGATTTTTTCTATATATATCAGTTGGCCAATTAATTTCTTTCTATTTATAGTAGAGACAGGGTCTCGCTCTTGCTCAGGTTGGTTTTGAACTCCTGACCTTGAGCGATCCGCCCGCCTCGGCCTCCCAGAGTACTAGGATTACAGGCGTAAGCCACCGTGCCCGGCCTGTCAGCTGTTTTTATTATAGAATGCCCTGGCTAACGCCCTCCATACTGAATCCCCTTAAAATCAGCCCCCAGATTGAGCCTACCAAATTTAGCTTCCTGTTTTGTACCAACCCTATCTGAGCCCCTAGAATGAACATCAGAGCTTGAGCTTGGCTGATTGAGCTCCCCCAGCGGAGCCTCCCAGACTGAGCGCCCATATATTGAGTCCAAAGATGGAACTCCCAGAAAGAACTTCCCAGTCTGGTTTTCTGAGCTGCTCAGAATGAAAATCTTTGAATGAGAGCTAGCCTGAGGTGTGCCCACTAAGCTTCCCAGCCTAAGATCCTAAGCTGGGCTCCCTGTTTTTTATGCTTCAGACTAAAATCCCAGGCTGAGCCCCACAAAGTAGCTCCAGGTCTGAGCCCCACTGAATCATATCTCTGGTTCCCCAGACTGACTTGCCCACTTTCTACCTCCCAGACTGAACTTTCCAAACCAGGTTAGCTGGAACTCCTGGCCTCAACTGCCTACACTGAGCCTAAGACTGAACTCCAAACCAAGATCCCAGACTGCTAAGTCCAGAACAGGCCCAACTAAAGCTTCCAGACCAAGCCTCTACATCAAACTCCCCAAACTGCACTCCCTATCCTAAACCCCCAAGTGAAATCCTGGACTGACATCCCCATACTGAACCCCTACACAGAGCCTGCAGACACTGGACTCCTGGAAATGCCAGTCTATACTCCATATAAGACATCTCCAGACGGAACTCCTTATAGCAAAGCCTCTAGTCTGAGCCCAGTGATGTACACAGGCCTGAGCTTGGGTGCCTACAGCTTCCAGCTAGGCTGCCCCCTACACTGGGGTGAGGGAAATACAGAATGTATAGGAGAAAAGGCAGTTGGGAAATCAGTCCTAGCCCTGATGCCAACTCTGCTGCCTCCCACCTAAACAACCTAGGGTGGCTGCCTTCTCTCTGAGTCTTAGTTCAGGGAGGTACACGTGGAGGAAGCTGGAGTGTTCAGCAGGAGCCAAATCACCAAGGGCTTTAAATGCCAAGCTGAAGGTCTAGGTCAGGGGTCCTCAAACTTTTTAAACAAGGAGCCAGTTCACTGTCCCTCAGACCATTGGAGAGTGTGCACTGTGGGCCCGGGACGAGTTGGCTGCTAAGCAGGAGAGGCAGTGGTGGCAAAAATACCCGGAGGGCCAGATAAATGTGCTGGGTGGCCATATGTGGTCCGCGGGCCGTAGTTTGAGGACGCCTGGTCTAGGTCTTTATCCTGTAGGCACAGGGAATCCATGGACAGATTTGAACAGACAAGTGACAGTAAGCTATGTGAGAAAGCTCCTACTGGCAGCCTGGGTGGAAGAGGGGTTGGAGTTTAGAGCCTGGCACCAGAAAGGCTTGTGGAGGTCTGAGCTGGGACAGGGGCCACAGGTCTTCCAGAGTACCAACACTTGGTCATGGAAAGAGAGGCTCCTAGGAAAACAAGACTTGGTTTGCCAACTGTATGGACCCTCTTCAGAAGCACCTGTGCTCCTCCCGTACAGGTGCATCTTCTGAATGGAGAAATCAGAACTTACAGAGTGGGATGTAGTGAAGCTGCGGCTAGGCCTTAGACATGAGTGGGATTTGTTAATGTGTGAAGATAATGTAGATGGTGGCTCTCACCTGTAATCTCAGAACTTTGGGAGGCCAAGGTGGGAGGATCACTTGAGGCCAGGAGTTCAAGACCAGGTTGGGCAACACAGGAAGACCCTGTCTCTGAAAAAAAAAAAAAAAATTAGTCTAGCATGGTGGCATGCACCTGTAGTCCTAGTTACTTGCTTCCTGAGGCAGGAAGATCACTTGAGCTCAGCAGTTCAAGGCTACAGTGAGCTGTGGTTGTGCCACTGCACTCCAGCCTGGGTGGCGGAGTGAGACCCTGTCTCTTAAAAAAAAGAGGGGGCTCATTTCAGCTTTTTTTTTCTGATGATATCTGGTCACTATAGGAAATGTAGAAATTACAGAAAAGATGAAAGAAGTAGAGGGGGAAAAATCACCTGTGATCTGAGCACCCAAAAAACAATCATGATCAACATTTTGAAATATATTCTTTCTGATGTTTTGTAAACATGTATATTTGCAAAAATGAGATCATTCTGTATATATAAGTTTGTATCTCCTTCTTTTCTTAAAATACCTTGAGCATTTCCCAGATTATTAAAAACCCTATATAAGTATCACTTGTAAAGGTTGTTTAATATTCCATTATATGAAGGCACCATAATTTATTTAATTGAACCCCTGTAGTTGGACATTTTTGTTTCCAGTTTGGCATTGTTGTCAACACCACCACAATGAAAGTGTATTTGTGCATAGAATGTGTATTTGTTTAGCATAGATACCTATAATCAGAATTATTGAGACAAAGAATAGGATCATCTCTTTGTTTCTTCGTGTAGCTTTTTTCTGATTATAAAAGTAATACATGTTCTTTGTCAAAACTATGGAAAATACAGAAAAATCTAAAGACAATAAAAACCACCCATAGTCCCACCATCCAGAGACAACTTGTTAAACATGGGTATGTGTCATTCCAGTTACATATGTAGCTTTTACTGTTGTTACTGATAGTAATAATGATTGTGGCAAGCTTGTATTTTATTGGCTGCCAGGTATTCCTTTGTACTGTGATTCTGTTATTGTGATGTTGAGACAGTTTCTCATCTTAAATGATGTTGCTATGGAAATCTTTGAGGCTAGTGCTTTCTGGGCTGGGGAGGGTGTGGTCAGGCCAGGAGGAGGTATTCACGGAGGAGAGAAGCCCCATAGGAGCCTCCTCTCTGTTAGTTTCCCATCTGACCTCCCCTCTCTCTACCTGTAGAGTCTCTGGAGCTGATAGCCACAGCAGCAGAGCACTCTAATGCTGCCATCCGCAAAATGGTGAGTTGCCCTTCTAGCCCCTGCCCTTCCTTGGCCACCCACCCGTGGTGTCTCTGTCCTGGGGTCAGAGGAGCTTGCAATTTGTGGGCATCTGAGGGGAGGCTGGCAACCCTGCCTTTTGTTCCCTGTCTTCTGCCAGGAGCGAATGCACAAGCTGCTGAAGGTATATGAACTGCTAGGGGGTGAGGAGGACATTGTGAGCCCCACCAAAGAGCTCATAAAAGAAGGCCACATCCTTAAGCTGTCAGCAAAGAATGGGACCACTCAAGACCGATACCTCATACTAGTAAGTGCCGTGCATGGGGTTGTGAGTGCACCATGCCACCCCTCCACACACACACATATAGACCTGATGCTCACTCAAGATTATACTTCCCACTAGCCATTCTCTCCTCTGGTAACTCATTTTATTTTCACTACCTACACTAGGAATTATTTTTCTCTATAGATGAGGTAACTAAGTCTTACAGGGAAGTGACTTGCCCAAGGCCACTCACTAGGAAATTTCTTCCATGCCTAGGCTTTTTGTGACCCCCTGTGCCCAATCAGGGTTATCTTCTCCATCTTCTACCTTGAGTCCTCAGCAGTAAAGCTTCAGGAGTCCCATCGGGGTAGGGAGCTAGGCCACATCCCCATTAGGTCCTCTGCACATACATCCCCAACTTTTTCCTTCCTAGTTCAACGACCGCCTCCTTTACTGCGTGCCCAGGCTGCGGCTCCTTGGCCAGAAGTTTAGTGTGCGGGCACGCATTGATGTAGATGGCATGGAGGTGAGCACCTGGAGGCGGAAAGTGGGAACCTGGAGTGGGGCATTGTTGTTGGGAGAAACAAAGGCATGCTAGTTTTGACCCCACATCTGTGTGTGCATGTGTACAGAGGTCTAGAGCCCTGTGGAGCTCAGAAGGCCTCACGTGCCCATTTCCCCCTCCATTCAGCTAAAGGAGAGCTCCAACCTCAATCTGCCTCGGACCTTCCTGGTGTCAGGAAAGCAGCGCTCCCTGGAGCTCCAGGCCAGGTACTTGCCCTTGCCAGTGCCTCTCCAGGCCCCTCTTTTCTTCAGATATGCTGAGGCATTCCAGGCCCAGAGATTGTTCCAGAGAAAGGGTGGGCACCTTTCCCCAAAGATGCAAGCTTGCCCTTCAGCAATGGGGGTGATCCCTGAGGGTTAGACATCACTGGACCCAGGGTGAGTACTTCATGATGTGGGGAGAGGTAGCACTCCTGCCAGGAGGGCCTTTTGGAAAATGAATAAGGTCTCCCTGATTAAAACAAGAATTTCTTCTGATGGGTTTTGTTAGAGGAGAGGGAAGAGTAGGATACTAATCCTAACATGAATAACACTATCAATAGTTTATTGTAGATTCATAGATTTAAGAGAAATATCAATCAAATGCAATGCTTGGTGGTCCATGATAGGAGCCTAGTTTGGGAAAAACAGCCCTAAAACACATTTGTGGGACAATAGGGAAAATTTAAATATGAACTGATCATTGGATATTGAGGAATTATTGCTAACTTTCTTAGGTATAATAATGGTATGGTAGTTATATAGGAGAATGGCCTTTCAGTGACACATGCTAAGGATTTATTATCCTGTCTGTTAATTACTTTAAAATGGTTCATCACCCAAAAAATACATATGTATACAGACACATACATCTGTATACACGTACATATGCACATATACAGTGTGCTGCTTAATGATGTTTTGGTCAATGACAAACTGCATATACAGTGGTGGTCCCACTGTAAAAATACAGTGTATTTTTACTGTACCATTTCTATGTTTAGATACACAAATATTTACCATTGTGTTACAGTTGCCTATAGTATTCAGTACAGTAACATGCTGTATAGGTTTGTAGCCAAGAAGCGATAAGCTACACCATATAGCCTAGGTGTGTGTGGTAGGCTATACTATCTAGGTTTGTAAGTATACTCTATGACATTCTTGCAACAAATATGCCTAATGACACATTTCTCAGAACTCTTAATCATCAAGTGATACATGACTGTGTATACATATACATGAATATAGCAAAATATAGAAGATTTTGTATCTATATAGTAGATATATAGATATTTATTATACTTGTGCTATCCTATCTATTTTTCTGTATGCCTAAAAATTTTGGTCAGGCGCAGTGGCTCACGCCTATAATCCTAGCACTCTGGGAGACTGAGGTGGGAGGATTGCTCAAGGTCAGGAGTCTGAAACCAGCCTGAGCAAGAGCAAGACCCTGTCTCTACTATAAATAGAAAGAAATTAATTGGCCAACTAAAAACATATATGTAAAAAATCAGCTGGGCATGGTGGCGCATGCCTGTAGTCCTAGCTACTAGGGAGGCTGAGACAGTAGGATCACTTGAGCCCAGGAGTTTGAGGTTGCTGTGAACTAGGCTGACACCACGGCACTCTAGCCCAGGCAACAGAGTAAGACTTAGTCTAAAAAGAAATTAGCTGGCCAACTAAAAAAAAATATATATATATAAAAAAATGAGCCGGGCATGGTGGCATATGCCTGTAGTCCCAGCTACTCAGGAGACTGAGGCAGAAGGATTGCTTGAGCCCAGAAGTTTGAGGTTGCTGTGAGCTAGGCTAATGCCATAGCACTCTAGCCTAGGGCAACAGAGTGAGGCTCAGTCTCAAAAAAAAAAAAAAAAATTAAAATAGGCCAGGCATGGTGGCCCATGCCTGTAATCCTAGCACTCTGGGAGGCTGAGGCAAGAGGATCATTTGAGCTCAAGAGTTTGAGACCAGCCTGAGCAAGAGGAAGACCTCATCTCTACTAAAAAAATAGAAAGAAATTAGCTGGACAACTAAAAATATATAGAGAAAAAATTAGCCAGGCATGGTGGCACAGGCCTGTAGTCCCAGCTATTCGGGAGGGTGAGGCAGGCGGATCGTTTGAGCTCAGGAGTTCAAGACCAGCCTGAGTAGCCTAGAGGACCCAGGTTAAAAATAAATAAATAAAAAAATAAATAAATAAAAAAAAAAAAAAAAAAAAAAAGACCAGCCTGAGCAAGAGTGAGACCCCGGCTCTACTAAAAATAGAAAAAATTAGCCAGGCATGGTGGCACATGCCTATAGTCCCAGCTACTTGGGAGGCTGAGGCGGAAGGATTGCTTGAGCCCAGGAGTTTGAGGTTGCTGTGAGCTAGGCTGACGCCACTGCACTCTAGCCCGGGCAACAGAGTGAGACTCCGTCTCAAAAAAAAAAAAACAAAAAACAAAAAAACTGCCCTTCTTTTTCAAACTTGACATCCCAACAATACAAAATTATTGATGTGGTTTCTTACATGTTCCATAGTCTTTCTCACACATTTCACCCTTACCCTTCTACCTGAGGCCTAGCACCTCCTTGAGAAAACCTTCCTTCAAAGTCCCCACCCAAACTTCAGGCTAGGGCATGTCCCCTCCTCTAGGCTCCTCAGCCCTATTTGCAGGGCACTGATCCATCCCCTGGCATTGTCCCCTTCTATCTCCTCCGCTAGACCATGAGCTCCCTGAGGGCAGGGTCCTCTCTAGGGCCAAAGTTCCTAGCACAGCGTCTGGGAACATATTAGTAATTGTTGAATAAATAAACAGGTTAAGTGACTTGCCCAAGGTCACACAAGTAATAAATGAAGAAGCAGAGGGTCAAACCCAGGTCTGTCTGAGTCCAAAATACCTGCTCTTTACCACTCCAATTGCTTTTTGTTGGTCTACCTAACCCAACATCTTTTTTTTTCTTCCCAAGGACTGAGGAGGAGAAGAAAGACTGGGTCCAGGTAACATCCAAGAAGGTT